ACGTTTTATAAATATTTATAAATAGGATAAGGGTATGGTTCTAATATATTATGGTTCAGTGGGTAAGTCACGGGCCCTGTCCTGGAGGTATCTTCAATTCATGTGCTATGGCCGCTCTTCGGAGCGGCCATAGCCATGAAGATATTGATCAATGCTTCGGAAGATTAGCCAGTTGGATGCAGAAAAAACCCTATGCCCTTGAACCTAGTGATTTCGTCCCCCTCATCAATGACTTTCTGAAGGAAAGCGATTTCCCTTTTGAGCCCTACCGAGTGGCCTTCGAAGTCAACCGAGTGCGGGATTGGATTCTCAGAGCAAAATATCCCAATCAAATTTGCAAGTAGTCTTTGCATTTGTTCAAAGAATATTTACAGGCAACCTTTCTCATGGTTCTTGCGGATCTACAGGACTGGAAAATTGCATCTTCAAAAATGAAAACCATAGTGATGTTAACTCCCTATTTCAAGATTCAAACAGCTGGCTGGTTTAGGTTTTAAACTGATTCAGATTCAGTTGGTCCTCTTGAAATTTGAAACATAGTCAGGCGCGGCTTCCTAGCACAAGCATGCCCTGTCTTCATTGGTGGGATTTCGGGACCTGGTGCACCTCACTGGTTTGAATTTCAACGGCGAGAATCATTGGGAACCCCGGTGAATCTTACAATAGTTTTTGTTTCCTTTCGGACAAAGACCCTATCAAGCAAATCGCTTTGTAGGTGGGACCATACATAGTCACTCATAGTCACCCACAGCGGCAGCCACATTTGAGGCAACGGCATCGAAGTGGACAACAAGTTCTGGTTTCGAGCACCTGAGCATCCAGGGGATGTCATTCTTCGGAGTCTATGTTGCAACAACTGGGAATATTTATTTACCTGTGGGGTTGTTAATGTATATAGACGGATCTAGAGGCTGGAGGTGATTAAATATTAATATATTATATATTCCGAGCGTCTGTTGGCAACCTGTCTATACAAATGGTTTTATCTAAGGACGAAGCAATTCATGGCAGATCCAGACTACAATGGAACTTTCCTGCACTATCCCTTCAGGGTCGCTGAGGTTCTTTACCGATCTGGCTTGCCAGCAGGCATGGCAACATTGATGAACTATCTAATAAAAACAGTTATATAATTCACCCAAACGAAACTCCATTATAGCTTTCTGGCCTGGGAACCACTTTAAAGTGTGAAATAGAAATCTGTTATGCTGGGGATTGGGGTCCCTTTTTGCTTCCCTGAAGTCGCGAGCCCCGAGAAACCATTGGGGAAGAAGTTCATTGACATGATCCAGAAACACTTACCAATGATGCGAACCCCAGAATACAACATGGAACGTGCAGCAAACCACTTGGAGAAGTGGATCCAGGGATGTCTTCCGGTCGAACCCTTTGGGGATGTGTCGGCGTTGCTTCCTATCAATTTGTGCTTTGATTTTTTATTTGGCAACCCCACAACCTCCATCATTTTATTGAAATAGCTTTTCCTATTCTTCATCCCCATCCCCCTGGCCGGCCTAGGTTCCAGGACTGCTGCAGCACTTCAGCTATGGCTGGTCCATTGGGGGCTTTCCGACCGCAGTCCTTGGAGCAACGCGCCAATGTGGTTGCGCCCCTAACACACCACTTAAACAATTTTTCGTTGGATTTTCCCATGTTGGTCTACACGATTGCTGGTATGATTAAATCTGTTAGTTGGAACAACAAATATGTTTTCTGGGCGGCCGCAATTCCAGTTAGGATGAGCCGGGGTCAAACTGACCGAAGATTCGTCACAGAATACATTGCCCAAAGCAGGAAAGATTTGATTTGGGAAATTGCATCTCAAGCGTGGTCTTGGGGAATCCCGTGGGCAGAAGCCCTTCCTGTGGCTTGCAAGGCCGTTGAAAAGGGAAATCCGAAGCCTAAAGCTTGGCCCAAGGCCAAGTCAAGGCCCAAGGCAAAAGCCAAATCCAGAGCATGAGCGCAATGGGAAAAAATCATCGGAATCTTTACCTGCATATGGGATTTTTTCATCGGACTGATGAAGAAAAACCCCTGCCACCAACCGGGTCAAATTTAGATGGATCCTAGGTAGCTTTCATCGGAAAACGGCACCACTGTTCAAAATAGTTTTTCCAGGGATGATGTTTGGGGTTCCTAAATTTTGGCTGGCCACCCCAAGTGTGATGAAAGCTACCTAGGATTCGTCGAACTTGGGGTCCTGTCAGGAAACATCCCATTGTGATGAATTTAGGGCTTCTTGCATCAACCATTGTGATGAATCCATTCTGATGAATCGTAGGTCAGATTCGTCGGAATGAGGATCTCCAACCCAGGAATTCGTCGGAATGGGAATCTTCACCCCAGAAATTCGTCGGAATGGGAATCTTCACCCCAGAAATTCGTCGGAATGAGGATCTCCAACCCAGGAATTCGTCGGAATAGGGATCTAAAACCCAGAAATTATATAATTGGAAGGGGGATGAATGGGGTATGGGATTTTTAACCCAGGACTTGTAGGAATGGGATTCCCAAACGGACCAATGATATGGCATTCGATATTATGGAAGTATATATCTACTAAATGCATCTAAATACCACTCAACCGAATTTTGTTCCCCAACTCTTTGTCGACACAAATTACAGGTTGATGTTGGAGAAATGTATATATAATATCGTATAATATACGGAGCTAACTGATTTGTCCACTTTGCCACATGCTCCACCCAACCACGGTGTGTACCCGAATCTATCTATTGATGTCGTGATGTCAAAGGACACATTCTTTCTTTTTTTGCCATTGGGGGAACCTGCCACCCAAGGATATTTCTTCCCTGAATCCTGTAGGAGACATAGCCGGACATGTCTGCCCACATGCCCGGTTAAATACCTCACCCTTTGCCCCCCTTTGCGCCAAAGGTGCTGTCGCCAGCTTTGATCGAAAACGGCTGTGCTCAGCTCTGCCTTGGGTTAGCGGGCTGCTTGATGAGTGTTCACCATGTCAACCATCAACCATTGGATCTAATTCATTGGATGGTGCAGGATTTTGGTTTTGAGATTCAATTCTAGGTGCTTGGGGTGGACCAAAAATTGGACCAGCTCCACGTGACTTTGGGCCATGCCAAAACGAAAGAGTGGAAACGATCAGGATCCCAAGAAAACCAAGCAGCAGAAAGGTGAGGTGAAGGTAAAGGTGAACCGACCTCCCTACGTTGAGAACATGATTGAATGGAATCTTGGACATATAGTTGCTGAACCTGATACCTATGGTACAGATCAACCTTTGATTTACATGGCTTGATTATTACTTAATCCATTCCCCCACAATCTCAGCCATGTTGGTGCTGAGGATCGTGACCAATGTGCTTCCGGCAGGAGGAGGTGCTGCATACCTGTCGGCTAAGTACAACACCAAGGTGGTGTGGGGATGGTGCTTGTGGTGACTCCGAAATCATCCGGTCAGAGATTGGATACCCAACTTATCAGTTTCAAATTTAACCTTGGCTTCAGCCCTGGAATTCTTTTAGGCTACTCAGTTTTGCAAGGTTTCACATGTTATGTCATGAGCCAGGCATTGAAACTTAAAACAATGGAACTGCCAGAGCTAGTTTAACCATTGCATCAGCTTTGCATGGCAACCGGAAGGCCCTCAAAGTAGAGTTTGCCGAATGGTTGGATTCTGCATTCCCGGCCAACCCTCGGCCCGAATCTAAGAAGTGTTTCAAATTAATTGCCCAGCCCTGTGCCAGCGTTCTCATCCCCGCCCAGGAAGTCTTACTGCACTTCGCTGGATGTTCCAGGGCCTTGCCTCCTCCGTCCATTCCAGCTGGCATGGAGACCAGACTTTGGCCTGGCTGGAAGCCAGGAACCGGACCAGTTGTTGGCAATTGCAGAGCTGGTGGCAGCCGAAACGAGCCTCACCCAAATATGTCTTTCTGTTTAAAATGATATATAATCAACCATAATTCCAATTGTCTTTTGGGTTGGACAATGTTGGACGCTTTGCTCATGAGGTTTCGAACTGATGCTGATCTGGGTGGCACCGAGAAAGTGTCTATCGCACAGGTCACCAAGGAGTTTCTGGAATCCGACTATGAACCTTTGAACCCACTACACAATGGTCTTTTGACCGCATAACATGTCACTACAAGGGCTCAGGATTCTAAAATTGTTTCGGCTAAATGGTATGTGAATACATCATGGGATACTATGTGCGCATCCGTGCTGAGGTTCCTTGGTGCCACCGTTTCACGTGGCATACATCAAGGGCTGGCGTCGGTGCTTAACCCTTTTGGTTTGCTGCCAGGCAATAAGGGAATTGAACTGCATCGATGAGATTCCACAAGAAGTGAAGGACAGCTTTTCCAAATAATTCGTACTGGGGAGACTAATAGTGTTTGTAAAGATTCCCCTGTCATTCTGGCATTCTGTGTTTGCTACCAGGACAGTTTCGGCACAATCCATGCCACAATTCTGCCGCACAAAACCTTGAAAGCCAAGATCTGGGCCAATCGTGGCAACTGGTCTGTAAAGCTTTAGTGAATGTTAGCAATGTTTGGTTAGATAGCTTTTGCAGTCAGTATTATGTGGAAGACTGGGACCCTACCAAACGATTAATATTTTTGATTTGCAAATATCGTGTTCAAAGAATTACACGCACTTAGAACCATGACATCAGGATTCACAATGCAGAGTTTGCAAAGACGCGCGGCTCACTGTTTCAACCTACTTCGTCAGATTCGAGTACTCCAACAGTGCAGCAAAACTGGTGATGAAGACCCACAACAACACTTTGATGCACATGGGCTCAAATAGGTTACTTCAATTTTGTTGGATTTCAGTATGCTCGAACGATTGCTAAAAGTTTTTTGGATATTGTTAAGTTCGTCGGATCATGTACAGTAGTGTAGCCCTTCCCTCTCCCCCATCCTCGTCAGGATTGGGAATCCGAGACATCGGTTTGCCGTGCCTTCCAAATAGGGAAGACAGAGGCGAAAGCCGTAGTCCAGCTCCACTCCTACATGGATCCGAGCATCAAGGAGGAACTTGAGGGTGCAGTCAACCACTTTGGAATGAGAGCCTTCATTTTCCACGATGTGATTGCAAAGGAATGCTTTAGCAGGGGGTTTACATCGGCAACACAAGGGTTGGAAGAATGGGCAGCGAAACTGACGAATGGTTCCAACTCACAGGACCCACTGGCACTTTGCCAGCACAATGGATTTTCAATTTTGAAAACTGAATGTCAAGGGTTCAACTCATTTTGTTTTCTTCAAATTTCTGGGGGAACTTAGGCAACTCTGTTCACAAAGCGAGTGATCTCTGACTTCAAGCGTGCTGGGGAAGGGCAACGAAAGCCTTTGAACTTCAAGGATGCCCTTTACAAGCACCAAGTCTGTGGGGCATATCTCCACTTCAAATCAGAGTTCCAAAGCAGGTGCCCTGAAAAGGAGTGGCCAACACTTTCTCAGGAGATTGATGACTCCTTCTACCAGCGGCTCCTGGACACCGATCTCCATGCTGCGATGCTCAGCAGTGTGCCGCCGGGAGATCTCCTGGCCATTTCGAGCTTCAGGCACTGGGGCTCAGTTGGGGGAACCAAATGGTATTTCTCAACCTGTGCGGGGAAAGAAATAATAGAAATATGCAAATCCTATTTAGCAAGAAAAAATCCTCTATGGTCTTGTATTCATTCATTCATTCATTCATCCATCCATTCATTCATATCTAGTCCCACCTGGCTAGGCCGCATTTGGGGCGGTTTCAGAAGGTCCAGGTCGCAGAACTAGAAGCCAAAGAGGACAGGTTGGCTAGGAGTGTGTTGGAGGCAACCTTCAACCAGCTTTCTGCCCAGTTGGATCACGACATGGCACTTGTGAAAGAAAAACTTTGTCATGACAAAGATGCTGAAGCCGTGGAGTCTGCAAAAGATGCCAGATTCTTGCGAGAACGTCAGCTGATACTCAATGGAAGATTATATAATAATTATTATATAGGGCTCCAAGTTTCAATTCTCTTATGGATGTCAATGGCTAGACAGTTGATATGTTTCCCAAATAACACAAACTTGTTTATTTGTTCTGAACTCATCCATTGTACCTCCAGCTGCTTTCTACATTTCCATCTTAAGGAAGGGGGCTGCATGGGTGAAGAACTGGATGGCACGGCACTGTGTCCTCATTCCGGTGGACGATTCAATGTCGGGCTCCATGACAGAGTATGCGTCCTTCAATGCGCAATTCCAGGGGTCAGCTGGCAGGAAGCTACTTGGTGACCACATAGGGATGGAACAAATAAATTGGAACTATCGTGATTTCCATAGTATGCATTTTCTCAAGAAATATTTTCACTCACCAAAAAAGATTATCTATTTGTAAGATCTTCTGGGCAACCTTTTCTATTTCTTGAACATCACGAGGTTCACCGTGGTGGGATTGGATGCAACCTTGTGGCCTTCCAATTCACCCTACCTCTCAGCTGCAGTTCAAACAGCGTGTGGAATCACCAACATGTCGGAGAACACGGTTTGCCATGCACAGCTACCACAGCTGCAGTCGTCTACATCCAACCAAACAGTGCTCAAACACAGACGTAGCTTAGAAGACCAGCTGGTCAACCAGAAGTTGGATGTGAGTACAGTGATGCTGTTGAGATTCCAGAAGCCAGATTCCCAGAGAAATGATGCCAGACGGGCATCCCAACCATGTGTTGCTGCGACAAGCACCAACTACAAGACAAATGGGTTCCTGAGTTCTGATGCCATGCAAACTTCTACCATTGGTCCAGTCCCCTTGATCAAGACGAGCTTGATGTTGGGGTATGACCAGGAATCGGGTAGCATGAGCGCTGGTCTTCGAACAGAACAGTTTCTCGCCCATAAAACACTATTCGCTTAAAGATGTTACTTTCCTTGATTCGAACTTGGGGATTGACCAAACTCCTGTTGACTTTTTTCGTCGGGGTCAGATTACCTGCGCCTTATCTGAGGAAAGGAGTTCCATGCCATGTGGAAATCTTGAAGGCCTATGCCAGTGGCTTGGATCTCACGCCGGCAGATATCTACATCTTTGTGGATGTGCTGCCCAACAGGCACCCCTCAGTTAAAAAAAGAATAGGTTGTGATTTCACAAATGAAAGTTTCTTTCTAATATTAATATGAGGAATGCATTCATCCCAGCCCATAAAGTTGTCCCCGAATTATACCTTTCTTGGGGTCTATATACCACTTTCTACTCCAGGCATTGTGAGTTTGGAAGGGCTGCAGTGGCTAGCATCCTTGACAGCACCTTGCCCCAGCTCCGCTACATGGGCTATGTGAAAAAAGATTTCTTCTCGAAGGTCCATGAAGCCATTTCTTCAACCATCTACACCCATTGGGATGCTTCCAGGGAATCAGGGCCCCAGCAGCGCCCCCGAGAAAGTGGATCAGTCGGTCCTCTTGGTCTCAAAGTCCTGGCAGTCAGCGCAAGTGGCCAAGTGGTTTGGCCTGACTCTCTTTTGAGTGGGTACCCTTCCAACAGTGCTGAGTACAAAGCCCTTGAAGCCAAGCGTGCGGCTTTTTTGGAGATGTGCCCCCAGGTTCAAACTTCATCCCAGCAAACCACGGTGAGATCAACTGCACGCCCGGACTTTAGCATTGAAGGAGGGAAGGAGCCATTGGACCACACCAGGATGGTGGACCTAGCTGGGATTCCTGCTGGTGACTTCACTGGTGAAAGGCAGGGTCCAAATTGTTTCACTCAAAAATAATAAAAGGTTGACTGAAACCATGTGATCACACCCTGTGAGGCTGGCAACATCACCTGGAAAGAGCAACCGCCCCACTGTGGTCATCACCCAGGACTGGCATGTTTGGGTTGGCAATGAGAATTCCGAAGACTTGGCATTGGAAGCAATGCCTCTATTCGGATTTGGTCTCGGGGAGTATGAGGACAAAGTCGTTGAAGGCACAAGCATCCAAATAGCCAATCTTTTTTTAGCTGTAGTGAAACTTAGTCATTCGACTCTATATTGGTTGCAAGTACCACCAATCACACTATATACTTGCTGTAGCAGTATTAGCCCCATCTTTTGTAATAGCAGTTTCTCACATACAACCCTTGAGGCGATGGTGTGCAGGATGTGCTGAAACGGGTTGTTCCTTGGAAAATGACTGATGACAAAGCATTGGTCTGCTACAATGGCTCTCTTACACCTCTGTGCTGTGTTCTGCACAAAATGTCATCAGACCATGGTTTGGTTGATGTCCAGATCTTGGACCACAAGCACAGCCCCAAGATGAGAACTGCAATTTGGCTCAAACTTGCCTATTATTATGTTATATTTTGTTTTGAAATCTGTTTGACCCAAATACTTACTCAATAACTCAATAATCCCTTATTAGAACCCATTTCCCGGTCACCAGTCTCCTTGGCACAAGAAGCAGCCCGCTTCCAAGGCAGTAGATGGGCAAGAGCCTGTGCCAGCGCCGTTCCGCTTCCACGTGGAAATTCAGACCGGAAGAAAGACCCACTGTTTTCGACCGAGCTCGTTGGATGGCCAAGACATGATGAATGTCAAGCACCACTCTCTGGGACAGGTGCTCAAAGGCAACTTCAACCGGCTGGGATCGAACCAACGTGCTGGATTGGTATGGGAGGTATCTCAACCCAACATGAGTTCCCTTCTTGTGTCTTTTTGGCTCTATACCCTTCAACCTCCACTTCAACCTCCACATCATTCCTATCCCCTCTTACTTGCCTCGCTAAGGTGCAATCGACAACGTCAGTGCCGCCGAAGGTCCTGCCAGTGAAACCCAAGTTCTGGCTGACTTGCTCAACTGTCTTGGCTGGGAACACGTGGTACCAGTTGACTTCGTGTGCCTAGAGCACCTATGTCAAAATCTAGCGATAACTTTTGAGAAATTGCCGCTTCAACACGGGCTTGAAACCTGTGAAATGTACATTCATGTCATGTGAATGCTTTGGGGTAAGGCTAGATCTAAATCTAGGTTCCATAGCTGGATGTCCACAAGATGTTATTGTTTTCAGTTCCCAACATATTTTTTGAAGCCACTTCCAACCGCAAGAATTTTTCACATGGGATGTCCAAGGAGCCTAGCTAGCGGGGATCGTAGGTTGCCACAACAAAAATCTCAAGCGCCGTGATTCGAGAAAAAATTGTGCATCTGAACATTCCTATGCTTCCATTTGGATCCATTTGGCATCACCAGGCACTTTTCCAAAAGCATTAGAATCGAACTTTATCGTGAGTTTTTCTCCGAGCAGCTGGTTAGGTGTGGTGACTTGGGTTCCTGAGGTCAGGACTCCATAGGAACCGGTGAAATTTTGGAACAGCCATGGTGGTACTTGGTGCTGTCACGGAACTCACCGAGTCTGAGTCTGAGGATGAGCTGGTGGGTGTGTTTTGCAGGAACACACCAAGTATCACCCAGCGCAATCAATTCACTGTTTTTCCCCATTCCAAAATCATTCTAATCTAATGGTTTTTGGCAGGAGCCCAAAGGGAAAGCAAAAGATGTGAAGAAGGAAACAACACCTAAGCATTCCCCGTCAAAGTCTACCACTCCAGCAGCTTCGGAACCTTCAACAAGGGGTAGACCGCGTCTCCGTCGTCCCGCTGCGGCGGTTGAGGCCTCGAGTTCCAAAGGGATGAAAGCTTGTGCGAAAGCAGAAGCGAAAGCCCGACAGAAAGCCCCTGCAAAAAGAAAAGCCGAGGAAAAGAAGACCAGGACAGTTAGCAAGACCCGAGGAACCAAAGGGAAAGCAGAGCCCGCAGAGAACAAGGATGAAGACAATTCAGAAGTTGAAGGCCCCAAATCGGCAAAAGGAGAGGACACCGCAGAGACTGTCAAACCCAGAGCCAATGCTAAGGGAAAGGCGAAAGCAAAGAGCAAGACCAAAGGAACCGGAAAGGGTAAGAGAAACAAGGATGTCAAGAATGAAGATGGAAAGGATGATGTGCCCACTATGGAAGAAAGTCCTAAAAAACCGGGAAAACGAATGAAACGACCGTCAGGTGGGGAAACTTGGTATCAAAATTCCATCAGTATGATGCGCACTTTAGTCCAAAAACATTAGAAAAAAGCGGCAACTCTTTAGCCCTTTTGCAGGCGCTGGAGAGACCCTCGAGGCGAAGGTTGGAAATCCATACTACTACAAGGCCAACAACACTTGGGCGTTCAAGGTAGGTGGCCGCGAAGCTGTGCGAGCCCCTTGGCTCAACTTCTTTGTTTATGTGTTACTCAGTTACCGTAAGTGGCAAACTAGCTAAACCACCTTAGGTTTGCTCCGACACATTTGGGTGTGGCCTTGGGAGATAGGTGAGTATATGTCAGAATATTTCAAGTCTTCTTACCATCCAAGGTTGGGACCCTTGGATGTTCGAAGGATAACCTCAAAGAGATTATCGCCTGGAACTTAGCTGAATCAGTTCAGCATCCACTAAAGACACTTCCTGGAACACTCAAGACTTGAGGATGCTGCTCGGACCGTGGTCCTCAATGGTGAATCTGTCAAGGATGCCAAGGAGTTGGCAGCTACTTGGCCCAAACATGTGGTTGAACATCAATTTGCTGTGCGGGAAGCTTTTTTCTTGCTTTCGCTGCGCGGAAAACTTTTTTCTTACGATTAGATTTGCTTAGCTTATCGTTATGAATTTTGACTGCCAGGCATTCCAATGTGTTAGCCCTGTTGTTCCGGCCCTAGCTCAGGCCAGGATGCTGGAACAACTTCCTTCCACTCCGGGGCCCGGTTTGGACGTTGGAGAAACCGTCAAAGATAGCCATGGGGATGATGAGCAGACAAAAAATGATGGGAAGGAATATGATGAGGATTTGTGTGAAGGAGAGGAGGAAGAAAAGTTGGCGGAAGGAGAGGAGGAAGAAGATGCCGAAGATGACAAAGATGTTGACTAGGGATTCCAAACCACTGAGCTGAGGTCGCGGCTGAAAAATTGGCAGTGGATGCAGCCGCTCTTGGGTCTTTGTGTGGCGGTGCTTGGGTGTTTGGCACATCTCCCCACAAATGTTATCATTAGTCCAAGGGTGCTGGTGAATTATTTACTGATTTTAATTACCCCATTCCCAACAATTATTGTGCTATATAGTTTACCCCATGTGACCTCCATCATCTGACCTGGATAACATGTCTGCCCTGGATGTCATGAAAATGTTTTATATATATATATATGTTCCAGAGTCTTCTAAAGTATATCAATTCTATGCTGTTGACCAGGATCCCCAGGCCATGCTCATGGCAGAGGTGGGCCGCGAAACTGGGCCGCGGCGCGGCCGTTTGGGCGTACGGGGAACGTAGGACGGGGTACCGTGGAGAACTAATGATAGAAGGCCTGGGGTAACTATTTAACTATAGCAACTGTAACTAATGTAACTATGTAGTAAGTGTAACTAGACTATTTAACTGTAACTGTAACTACTTCAGGGTAACTATTTAGATCTATTTAGTAAGTGTTTTGTCCAACTTTTAGTTAGAACCAAGAGTAAGAAGCAAGTGGTGAAGCCAATGCCAGCATCCATAGAGAATTATACTAAGTAAATGGTGGTTGATCAGCCCAAAACATTAATTCCAATAGTAATTAACTACCAACTATATATTTGTATAAATTTGTGTATACTAACCTGAAAAAGATGCCGATAAGTCATCTGACTCCCTATTTGTTCATTGCATTTTACTGTTGCAACTTTCTTGGGGGGGCCCCAAAATCTCAAAATAACTCATGAACAATGTGGGTAAAACAATGTCATGTTTACCATCCCCCAGTCATCACCATTTTTATAGGTGGTTTAAACCATTCCCAGCCATGGGGGCCGCTGGCGATTCGAACACATGTCCGACCACCCGCCTCCTGTGACAGCTGTCGACCGGGCTGACACCTGAGAAACTCTGGAGGATTGCAGGGCTATGTCATACCTCATTGTGGTGTTATGATATATATCATACTGTAATATAGAGTAAACATTAAACATGTATCAACAAAAAAATGTTGAAGTAATGAACTCATTGTTGTACTGTATGTATCTCTATATGTATCATTGTATGTAGTGCAATATTAATATGACTCAATTGTCCTGAAGTCCGCAGCGGAAGCTACGAGTACTGAGCTTTCAACCAATGACCGCGCGGTGAGGCCTGGCTGGCCAGACGAAGATTTGTCAAGCTCTTGATATAAGGATTGGTTCTGTTTAATCGGGGCTGTGGAATAAATTCTGGTAGCATCCAATTTTGTATTTTGTTTACCTTTTCTTTTCATTGAACCATCCAATTTCTATTCTGCTCACACATTTTTTTCTAAGATGTTGGCCAAAAGTGATAGGCCAGCAAAAAACAAATTTCAGTGGAGGGTCGCTGTCTCATTTCTTGAGAAATCTGCTTGATCACTGCAGGTCTGTGCCATGAAAATGTCAGATTCCCTGATTCTTCGATCATGTTTCAGTAGAAAATCACCCAAACTCCAATATTAGGGGGGTTTCCTAAAAAATGGGGGTACCCCAAAATATGGCTGGTTTATAATGGAAAAAAAATGATTTGGGGTAGCCCTATTTTAGGACACCTCCAATATAAACGCACATTCATCATCATTCATCATCACGTGTTTCGGAAATGCTTTAGATGTTGCCCAATGACTTTGGATCACATGTTTTTTTCCATGGTGGAGAAGCTATAAATAACCCATCTTATGAAATCCCATGAAATCCCATGAAATCCCATGATATCCCATAAATATCCATGTTTATAACCTTTTTCCATGGCGGATAACCTATAAATAACCTACAAAACGTCACAGAATCCCATGAAATCCCCAGCTTTTCCATGGCACACCTTCCCCGCCGGAGGTGGTGGAGGGTGTCACGGGACGATTCGGCTCCGGTTCCGCTCCGGCCAAGTCCTAGCGCGCAGCCGCCATGGTCGATCTTGGGATATTTGGGATGTCTTGCTTTATGAAGAGTATATATATATATGCTCATATAATATTATATATATTATATTATATATACCTTATTGTATCTTATTGTTATATACAGTATTGCACTCCCCAGTGTGATATAATCTAGATCCCCCAGCAAACTACAGCATTTGGCCCGTTGCCGTTTGAGACTCTTGAGACCCTTGAGACCCGTCCTTCAGTTTCCTTGCCGTGAGCGGCCGGACGAGGGCTTTTGTGCTGAAGTCCTGGCAGCTTCTGGTAGGGCCTCCCTCATGTCTATACTGTATCTGGATGGGATTATGTATACATATATATATATATTTATATAATATGATATATATATAATGATATGTATATATAATATGATATATATATATAATATGATTTATATATATAATATGATATATATATATACATATATTATATATCATAGAGAGGGATGATTTCTGGTATAACAAACAACATCTAAGTCTATATGGATGATTTAATCTGTCTCTTCTATGCATGTTCCATGGGGATTTCCCATGACCAGTTCACCTCGGACCCTGGAGGAGATGGTCAAATTCCGTAGCTGAAATACACGCAGGGAATAGCATCAACATATATATTATATATATATATATAGAATCGCGTAGCATAACTACTACAAGTGGAAGGGTTAAGTCATAGCATTTCGTTTTAAGTCATTGCAGGGGTCTTGTTTTCGCATGGAAACGCTGCGAACGTTTTAAGATATAAGATTATATAAAATCATGGATCATCATTTCGATCACAAATACCATGAAGCAACAAATAAAGCTCGGATAAGCTGGGTCCAACGGCAGCTCGAAATCCCCACCTTCAAACGCTCCTTGGGGGATGCCAAACGAGCCTGACAACGAGCAGTTTCTAGTGCTCCAACAGTCTCAGAAGGTGAAAGGGGAGCTGTAGGGATATAGTAAGCCCCAAATAGAACAGTAATTGATTACTTTTTCGTGGAATGATGTGGGATGTTATTCTTTCCTATCGTTTTTGGGATAACCATGAATGAGAAAAACATCTGATCTGTAAAGCACATGGATCACCAAACTGGGTGTCCTCAAGTGGGGAGTGCCCCAAAATTCATCAAAATTTATCGAACTTGCAATTTTTTGGGGGACGATAACAATCACAATTGACCCAACTTAGGGCTACCCTCTTAATTTCAAATCATAGATGATTGACGGTGACCAGAGTTGATTTTAGGGGCACAAACCCCCTCCGTCGAAGACGATTCTTTCACACCCTCCGGGAATCAAACGTGGCTTGCTGGAAAATTCATGAAAATTAGATCCATTTAGATCCATTTAGTTGATTTTCCCAGCTATAAACATTAATTTATAAACCTGCATCTGGCTCTGGGATTTTCCATACTTGTCCTGTATTTTCCTATGGTTTTCCCAGCCACTTTGTAGGGGCTTTCCCAGCCACTGTCTGTCACTGTACTGCCTCACCTCCACCACAGTGCGTCCGGCCACCACCTTCACTCCATCCACGTCCTTTCGACAAATGGGTATGGGTTTGGGTCAAACTTAGATACCAACAATGAACATTACGTTGGAGAATTGGATGGGTAATCTGGATGGGTGATAAAATTGATTATGATAAACAATTGGATGGTAGCAATACTAACAATGAAAAATCGGATGGTATGATACCTCTAAAATGTCCCTAAAAATTGGATGGGTGATAGGAAACATGATTCCAGAATCTGCGGGAAAACCATGGAAAGCCCGGGCCGAATAATGTGTTGAGCCCTTCCCATTTTTTGGGGGACAGTATGAATGATTGTGAGCCACAACCAACTCGGACGACACATCCAACGAATGGCGGAATTTTTGAGGGTCCAAGCACATCCAACCACCATCAACAAACCAACGTGTACTTTGCGGTTTTAGAAATCATCGCTGATCTTGAAGTAATCACTGGAATGAATATGCATGAATTAATTTAAGATCCCTAGTCTTAATTGTAGATTAGATTCTGATGTGATTATGTAAATTATCCTTTAAATGGATGCCTTGATTTGTAGGGAAAGTGGTAGTGCCCCCTTTGCTGACTATGGATGCCAGATGATGCCAGCTTCACAGTTCATTCCAAACCACAGCTTCACATGTCACAAACTTCTGAAGCCTTGGTTTTGGCCTATAAAAAACAACCGTTTTTGTCCCAAACTAATAGAGGTGGCTTGTTTGTTGATCTGCCAAAGGTTTAACTTTTGCTGCAGCACCTTTTTCCAAATCAGTTCTTTGCTATTTAATGATTCTCTATGCAAACTCTTTGAAGGTGGCAAGTGGGAGAAGTAGTAAATCCATCTAATAAAAAACATTTAAACAAAATGAACAAACACATGGGAAAAAACATTAAACACCACCAAAATCGCCAAAATCCACTAAACATGAAAGGTCTATGGCCAAACTCCATGGCTATCTGTTCATGTCTTGGCTATCTTGGCTCCTCCACCTTCTCCATTGAGGCTGAAGCGGCAGGTTCACCATCAGGATGTTCTGTGCTTGGTGTGTAGTAAGCAGATCCTGGCCGTGAAAAAACCACAGAAATCATCGACACATCACCAGGATCCACCAGGATCCACCAGGCAAATGATTCTGCTTCATGGTCCATGCCTGTTTTTAACTGTTTTTAACTGTTTTTAACTGTTTTTAACTGTTTTTAACTGTTTTTAACTGTTTTTAACTGTTTTTAACTGTTTTTAACTGTTTTTAACTGTCAAATGTCTCCATGTACGGTACATCTGTTTCCATCGAAGTAGTTCGTATTCTCCGGATTTCTCCGGTCTCTGTTTGAAGAATTGTCGTTTTCCATATCTGTTGGTTCCTAACGGGTTGATCCTGGTCTGTTGCACGAGACACAGCGGCCCAAACCGCCCAGTGGCTGTCACCCGGCCTGGCTGTGCAGGATGTCGCAACACTTCATCTGCGCAAAAGTCGTGAAAGTCCGGCCCAAGATTCCCTGCTTTGCAGGTCCCCCCAGGTTGCTTGGATGATAGGTACCATCTGTAGGCCTCCTCCAGCTGTTTTTCAGCCATCTTCGGATCCAGACTCATATTCACAGTTTCAATCAGCATTCGAAGACCTGCGTAGAAGTGCTGCTTCCAAGACGCTTTGGTCTCCAACGTTCCCATGAAGTTGGGACGTGCTGTTTGGGCCCCCGAGCGGCTTCCGCTCCACGCGCCTGAGCCGCCCTGTGCGCCCGAGGCATGTTCTGCTTGCAGGGCAGCTTGGAGTTCCAGAAATCGCGGGTCCTTCTGAATCTGCAGCATCTTCTGTGCATCCGCCGCGCGGGCTGCGAAGGCGGGAGGCCTTCGTTCTTTGGACTTCAAGGTGAACCTCAAAGGCTGGAAGCCAGCTTCAGCTATGTGATGACAGCACTTTGGTCAGAAGTAAAGAAACAAGGGAGAGAACAAACATTTATGGCTGACACCTCTTTGAAAATTCGTTTCACACCGTGTTGCACAATGTTGCACGTAAATCTATATGATATTTTGCTGTTTCCCTCTACAAGCGGAGACAAAAACTCATAAAAATTCCTTATCTCCTTATCGAGGCACGGATATTTCCCTGAGCCCACTTCTTCCTCCAGCTTGTGCCGTTCCTCTTGTGCCAGCTGTATGCGTTGCACCGCATCTTCCAGCTGCTGTTCCACCGGCAGCTCGGTGCGTTCGGTCCAGGGCAGGTTGACTTCGGGGCCCCGGAAGCTGCAGATCGGCAGATCCAGCGGCTTCCGCGGTGCCACGGGCGCGGCCGAGGCCGAGGGTGCGGCCGAGGCGTCTGGGCTGGGCACGGAGGTGGACTCCATGGCGACGGGATTTTGAAAATTCTGGAGGTTAGGAAAGGCTACCTTTTAAGGAAAGGATTCCAATGTTTTTTCGGGTTGCAAAACGATGTCTCTTCTGTTGCAGTTTCCATCAAATCTTTTCTTGTTACACCTCTGCGCTTTTACAGCCGCCAACAGCCGCCAGTTTTTGGCCGGGCTGTCTGGAGCCAAAAGCGGTCAACTCAACCTCCCTCTGAACATGCAGAAATTGAAGACCATGACTATGACCCCGCAGAATTTATTTTTTGAAACCAAGGATAGGAATTTGGTGATGCAGGGCGCCAAACGCTCACGGCTCACATTTCGTCCATTTTATCCGTTGCGTGCTCGTTGTTCAAGCCCGCTGTAAGGTGAAACTCTGAACATAGAGTCAATGGGGATGACTTCTTGGGAAAATAAGAATCAACAAAACTCATGGCTTGGTTCGGGTTCAAGTTATCCAAACCTAAATCTCCCGAAAAACAAACTGCTTCGCTGTTGGTTTCCCAAAAGAATTCATACCAGTCACCAAGAATCGCTATTGGAGCTGGAAATCATTGGAATTTGTGCACATGGTCACTGACGATACTGGCGATGGTTGATGATCTCCAAATTAGCTCTAAACCATCCGGAAATTTGCTGACAAACATGAAAGCTAAGGCTAAGGCTAAGGCTTTATAAGACATCCCCACTGACCCAACCCCAGGTCTTCCATGGCAAGGGAAACGCCCTTGCCACACCCCTAGGTGATCTCATTCGCGACCCGCTCTCGCACCTGGCTCCGGAGAGGGTTGTTCCAGCTGTCAACTGTCAACTGGTGACTTTTGAGCTGGACCTTTTTTTCAAGCTTTTCTGTCATGTTTCATCGGTTTTCCATGTTTTTTTCACGTTTTTCCTACGCCATTTTTTGTTTGATGTTGAATGATCAAATGTGGAATGAATTCACGCCTTTTAGCATCTTTTTGCCACCAAATCGCAACTTGCGAGCGCATCTGTTTCAGGACCACTTAGGGCCCTGTGTGCACCGGTCTGAGGCACTTCAAAGGAATAACGGCATCGAAGGATATTGTGATCAAGATTTCATTGCCAACATCACAGTGAGTAAACAGTCATGCGGTCGGAAAGGTCAGAATGGCTACCAAGGTAGAAGCTTTGGAATTTCATTCCGTTGCAAATCTCAACATCCTGCGTCGAATTCCCTACTAACACCCTCAACTTCACATCCGCAGCTCGATTGAGATTGAGAATGCATTTTGGATATGGTTCTTGTGGGAAGATGCTCATCCAAGCTATGACTCTTCTGGAGATTCGGAACTTTTGGCTGTCCATACCATCAGCTTTGAGCTTCGTGAAGTCTTTTTCACTCAAGTTCCACTCCAGCAACTTCTGGGACTCGACCATCTCACTGAGGATTCTGGGGCCACAGCTTGGCAGTCTATTCCCAGTTTTCTTTGTCGCAATCACCAGCTGTGCAAAATCCCAGAGGCCATTAGCTGCATCAGAATTGGCAGGATCCAAACGAAAGGCGAAGAAGAAAGCATCCTCTGCCCTTTCATTCTCGCCATCCTTGGCAAGACGTTGTGCCAACATCACTGCGACACGACCTCCATCAGCACTTCTACCTGCTTGGCGAAGTTGCTTTGCCAAAAGCATAAGGTCTCCCTTGAAATGCTGCAGGCAGGATTCCTTGAAAGAGAGCTTGTGAATGACATCCATAGGAATCGTTCTTTCTTCCTGCGAGATCAGTTGAAGGTACAACTCTTCAACATCGGCAGTGGTGCAGGCACTTGGGCTATCTGAATCCAAGAACTGGCAATGAAATGCATCTAGCAAGGCTCTTCGGATCAATGCATCAGAGGCACAAATCCTGTATGCCCTCAGTAGCAATTGGAGTTTCTCTTCCTGTTGGCAGCTGCGCTCTGCCAATTCCATGACTATCCTTGCTGATGGTGATGGAGGCCATACTTCTTCATCAGCAATCCCAAAGTCATATCTAAAAAAGCTCTCTGCAAAATCCAGAGCTTGCTTGTGCTTGTTGAGAAAGCCGTGAGCATGGTTCAGTACCCCCAAGTCCAGCTGATGGAGAGGGGTTTTGACTCTGTCTGCACACGTTGCCAATACAACTCCTGCAGCCTTTGCCCACTGTTGCTGCTCATGATAGCAGTTCAATGGCCCATCATGATGGCAATTTTGGACCAGCATTGCCCACAGCTGCTGGAACCGCCGATCATTGCCATTTTCCAGCAATTGCCAAAGCTCCTCGAAACAGCAATCTTCCCCTAGCAAAGTTGCAAGTCTGCAGGCTAGCTCGTGGTCGATCCAATGTCTGCAGATATGATTTGATGCCTTCATCTTGCTGTGAAGGCTTTCTAGCATGTCGCATTCAACTTTGCAAAGCAAGCCGCGAAGCTCCGACTCTTCGATTCCACATAGCAATGCTTCGATATGACGATCTGCCACTTGATCAAGCAGCTTGTGAACCTCTTCTCTTGCTGCATGCACTTCATCTGTGGGAGGCATCCTCATCCTGATCGTTAGCAACCTGAGCAGCTTCTTGCGGGCTGATGCATCATCATTATCATCATTGACAAAGAGAGGCCTCACAAAGCACTCCGCTCTCTGCAGCAAACGTTCAAGGGCCTCAAAGAACTCCGCTTTCAGCAGAAGAGGTGCAATCGAAAGAATTTCTGCGACAATCTCCTCTGGTGGACATGCTGGCAAGTGAGCCATGTGTTTTTTCAAAGAGAGAGAGAGAGAGTGAGAGTGAGAGTGTGTGTGTCTTTGGAATCGTCATAAACATCTGTGGTTCCAGCATGTTCCAAGCCCAAACTACTGATCATTGGGGATCATCATCCAATGAGGCATCTATGGGGAAAGCAGAATCATCTTTGGACCATTTTGAAGCCACCACTCCTCCTTGAAAGAGATGATTCTCGACATCATGTCCCGGTTCCGAAGGAGCTGCACCTGAGCCCAGCTTTCAAAACTTGCGAAAAAATGCTTGCTGCGAAATCATCAGTTTCAATATTTGGGGAAACATCTTAACAAGTATGCATAATTATTCCCTTGGCTGCCAGAAAGACAAAATCTGTCATTATCTACTTTTTGCAGAGGCCATGGCACCGGTTTGTTGAGTGTCGCACCTGTCAAAGGACTCCGGCTCTCCTCCGCCAGCCACTTCTGAATGTACTGCATCTCATAGGTGTTGCCGTCTTCCGCCACCACAGGATTTTCGAAGAGCTCCTGGGAGATGCAGCAGCAAAGTTCTGCCGGATCCTTCGTCAAACGTTTGACCTCAGAGCGTGTGTTTGTACAACAGCAGGCCTCAGCAGAACTCAAAGGTGGCAAAGCCCCTTCCGAAGGCTTTGTTCAGTTTCCATATTACTTTTCAGGCGGGTGGTGCAGTCGTCTTTTCGCAGCCCCATCTTTTTGAAGTGCAGTCCAGGAGTGACTTCCCCTCTAGTACCACTCTGAAACATCCGAACAGAAAATGGCAAGTTACCATTCGACTCCACTCATCGTCCTGGCTCCAACTCCCCACGGCCCAGATCTCCAAATGGAATAGAAATAGCACATTATGATACATGGGTATGGGTCAAAATTAGGTACCCCAATAATTGGATGGTTAATACTAAACTAGACTAACATCTGTGGTCCCCTAGGTATATTATGATAGTTTCTTCACATTTCAATAGCTGCATGTCTTGTGCCGAGCTCCCGAACAGGCGCTGGTCTCACAACCATCAACATCACTGAAGAAAAATAATGCCACGGCTCCTGCCCCAGCAGCACGACTTGAGCAGCTGGCACATCACAAATAGCTGCAATGTCGTTGATTCGCATGCCCTTCTTGCCTTGCAGTCAGACCACATTGGGCTGGTTTATATTGTTTTTACTATCTAACAGTAGTAAGAGTAGTATGTACTGTATATTATGGGGGGGCTACCGAACCGGGAAGATAATGGAACATATCCATATATATATATATGTACATATATATATATATACAAATATATATATATATATACAAATATATATATATATACAAATATATATATATATATATATAATCATAGTATATTGGGTGTGATGATCACCTATCTTACCATCCAACTGTAGGGTTTTCAGGGAAAAAACATTGAGCAAGTACTGGGACAGCAGGACTTGGACAAAACAGCTGGTACTAGCTGCGTGCATCGTTGTGGCCACAAGAGGTCGGTGAGCCATTACATCATGAACAATTTCCAAATCCCATATATATATTATATATATATATCAGTATATCATCATATATCATCATATATCATCATGTATCATCATATATCATCATATATAATCTACTAATCATCCAATCCACATCCCATGATCAAAACAAACGAATCATACACATACAGTCCGACTGTGCTGATTCGAGCTGCTCATCCTCAGAATCATGTCCCGCAGGTCCTGGAGACGTCTGGACCACCCGTTTGGACCATGTCGTGGACATGAAGCCAGCTTCGATGGAAACAACAAATCATACAGTATAGAGATATCTAAAGAATTCTAAAGACGTATAGAGATGGATAGAGATGTATAGAGATGTTTAGAGATGTCTAGAGATGTATAGAATAAATTTCAACCTAACAGATCTAAGCAAATAATGATCGAGTGCAGTCCGTTCATAAACTTCCCATGGTTTGGCTGAGCTGGTCAGATTGCTTTGGTCCAATGCATGGAGGTCCCGTTCAGCAGCGACCATACGAGCTGAACAACCAATGACATACCCTCTGGTAAACAAACATAGCTATTGAAAATGGTCATTCATAGCTGATTTACCCATTGAAAATTGTGATTGTCCATAATTAGTTATGTTACTTTACCAGAGGATAGTCCACACCACAAAAGAATCCCTAGTTCAAACATGTTGAAATAGTGACCGGGCACATGACCTTCTTCATGATACATGGTGGGTGGATGAGATAGAGCGAGATACTCTTGTTACTTGTTGAACCATGTTGAAACAATGGAACAAATCAGCACTTGACTGGTTCAATGATGTTCCTTGGGGAACAATGGAGGGAATGGTTACGGCTGGTCTGGTACCATTTACCAATGATTGACATGTGGGTTTGTCCCAAAAAAAAATGATACGCCAAAACTCTATCTTTTTTGAATGGAGAACTGATGATAAGCCATGATAAACCATAGGATCTTGGGGTATCCAGGTATCCAACTTTTGAAACAAAGCAACATGTTCAACAAACTGGAAAACCATTAATAGAAACATCTTCAGTCAATGCTGGGCTGTTCTGCCAGTAGCTCATCCTATACTAGCTGTACTATCCTGTGGAGCCTGTGGATCCGGTCCTCTGCCGCAAGTTGACGTTTCTTCATCGCAGGCATTCTTTGGTCAATGAATCCGATACCGCCAATCTAAGCCAAAGAGCAACACATCTTTTCCAATCAGAGAACCAGATGGAAAAGATTGGAAAATTAATTATTGAGTATTATAGTTGAGTCAATGAACTTATTATTTATATATGAACCAATGGAAATCATCAAGACTATATAGTTGGCAGCCATATCATTCCCAGAGGCGCGCACAACTCTAGGCCAGGCCATCCCTTGATCCAAATCTGCATCCCAAAACCAGCGACAAAACCACCATCACTGGGCCACCATCATCACTGAGACCATCAAGAGCTTTAAAAAAGTCTTTGTTGAAAAAACAAAACACACATGGAAAAAAATAAAATGACAAAAAAACAACCTGTCCGCATGGGGCCAAACATGGCCAAATGGGGCCATTCCACCACTGTCAGCGAGCGGCGGGATAAGCAGCACCTGTTCTGCGCGGTTTCGCAACATCTTTGTCTCGATGTCCAAGTGATGCCCTGTCGTGTGGATGATCCATCAGGCATGGGATGCTGCTTGAGGTTCTCGATTGCTATCCGTGCTTGAAGTATATCCCGATTTTTCCAATGATGGAACAACACAACCTGGTAATTCTGGTGGGATTGACGAAAAACAATGGCAATATAGACAAGTTGTGCGTTTGTTCATCGGTGTTAAACTAATTTCCAGGCAATAACCAGTAATTTTCCAGGGTTTGGTTAGGGTGCAAACCGATGGAACCACTTCTGTGGAGCCACATATGGCCATATGGCTCACAATCGTTACCAGGTTCATGGTGCTCATGTCATGCGTCCAGGGCAGAATGCCAATGAGAAAGTTGATACAACAATAAGTGGAAGTAAGTGCAAACATCAGATCTCATCTCATATCATCATTTCATTCCACTTCATTTCATGTCGTATGAGTTCATTCGTTCAATTATTAATTTACTCAGTTCAGTTCCTCTCATCTCACCTCATCTCATTTCATTTCACTTCATCTCGTCTCATTTAATTCATTCATGTGTTTTTCTTTCTTTATGTCATTAATTCATTCATTTCATTTCATTTCACAGAATTCCGTTTCATTTCATTTCATTTCATGTCATTCCTTCATTCATTCCATCCCTCCACTCACTCGCCCATGCATTTATGTATCGTTTCTTTCATGCCATTGATTTCATTTGCTTTCATTTCATTTCATGGGCATCTCG